GCTGCATCTGCTTTTCGTTATGACTACTGACTACAGTTGTCATCCACACCACTCCTACAGCTCATAACCCTGCGTGTTGCTAACTGCTGGCAGCTGCTCTGCTGCACCTGGTTCTCTAACACCTACTCTTTCTTGTCTCTTCCATCTCTTTCTGAATGTTGCCTATGTTCTCCCATAGCCCTAGAGATTAGAGAAGGTGAGGAAGTGCTTGCTCAATACAGTTAAGCCAGAGTGTTTAAGTAATACACAAATCATGGAAATGGATTTGGGCTACATCTTGCTTCTGTGTGGCCTGAGGGCATGGTTTCTGTGGCAGTTAAAGCACTGACTGTGTGTGCAATTAATAACGATCAGTCAGAAAGAAGAATTTGTACTGTAGAATTGCACTTAAACAGAGAGATTTCCAAGAGAGCAATATGTCCACTTGTATCTTCTCAAAGTCAATTGGCTATAAAAGCTGGTTAAACTCTTATCAATTTCACTGTCTTCATGAACTAGGATATTCTGAATTAGAACTGAAAAACATGTAATGAAAAAGTAATATTCTCTTTGCGTGCCCCGCCAAGTTTGCATATGCTTCTTTAATTAAAATGACATGCTCTAAACTTTTTCTCTCTTGTCCTCTCAAATCAGGCAATCTGAGTCAGATGCTCCTTTTTATAGGGTGTCTGGTAAGGAGACCCTGAAACAGCACATCTTGGTGCAGGAGAAAAAGGTTGCCTGTGGCTACATATCATATGGTTTTAAGTTTCTCTTTGAACCAGAGCGTTATTTCCCATTCTTACATCTGTGCTGATGCACACATAGTTGTGCACACTAAGCTGTGAATGACAGTAGAGTGTTCCCAACATAGACTGCGATCATTAACTTGAAGCATTTCTAAAAACATAGCAAGTCTATAGAACACTCATCTCTTCTCTCATACTCCTACTATTTTGAAATACAAAGTATAGCTTTGATAATGTTAATTTTCATTCGGAGAGAGTCAACAGCTTTCATAATCTGCTGATCTCACCTCTTATGTTTTAAGTCAGGAAAAATACTTCAACTCAAGTAGTAAAGAATAGAAGTGTAAGTCATTATGTTTGACAAAATTTTTTCTTATCTTAACGAAAACTGGTATAGATGGTGCTGTTTCAGTCTCCTGTAACACTAACTTGAAACCTTGGAAATGCAGTCTTTGATGGAGAAAAGAGGCTCAAAACCAAACTCTTCCAAACCAAGGTATGCTTCTTGATGACAATAAAAGGCACCTAGCAGAGCTACTTGAGTCTTCCTTGCTTTTGAGAATGAACATCGTTTCCGAATGCAAATATTCATATAGACGAGCCTCTGTCAGGCAATTACAAGTGAAATGTCATTTCAAGAATAGGAACAAGTGCAAAAGCTTCAGTGCAGTTCAAGTTACTGGGTTTACTACCAAAATACTCCTTGCTTAAAAGTGTCAGTCTGTGATGTCTGTTTCTTTTCACCTGATACATTTCAGCCATTGATTAAACTTGGAAAGTACAATTTTAGTAGGCATTTCTAAAATAATGAAGTCTGTCACTTTTACATCGACTCAGATGTCTGGCATGGGGGCAATATGTAGCATTATTTCTCAATGTGAACAAGAGAGAAGATAAAAGATTACTGAGGCTCTTTCTGTAGAGCACAGATGTATTTTCTCCTACTTCAAAGAAAAGGTAAAAGTAAATAAACAGGTTGCTTTGCAAACATGTAATATAAGCTTTTCCATATCTGGCAAGTGCATCATATCTTGAAATAACAGGTTGCTGTGTTCTGTAGGAAAACAGTGGATTGCCCATATAAAACATACTGTTTGGAGACAACCACAAGTCTGACACTTGGATTTCTCTTCTAAACACCCACATGTGAACTGTACACAGACTGCAGTCATTAGGCATGTGATCATTTGAGCTGCAGTGCTGCTGGAGGTGGGAAGGAGCTCTAGCTGGTTTTTCACAGTCCCTTTATGCGACCTAGGTGATAGTTACCAACAAAAGAGGTCATTATACTGTGTCCCTGCAAACACACAGCTACCTTGAGCTGTGTATTCCTCCTGTTTCTTGTCTGCATGAGGGAGCTGTTTTTGCCAAGGAGACACTCCTAGGAAGATCACTCTAGCTCCTCCCTCCTTTGCTCTTGGCCATGTGGTCCTGTCTTTCTTCCCTGGTGCTCATCTGGGACTCTCCTCAATCAGTTTAACTTATTAATCAACAGAAGGTAACTTCTGATACTTTGCTTTCATGATTTTCTCGGGTTTTAGAAAGTTGGATCAGCTCATGGAAAGGCACTGGCAGAGAGCACTGGAACTGGCACAGGTGAGAGTAATGGGACCTGGAGTTGCCCACATGGCAGTGGTGAACCAATGTCTTCACTGCTGTTTCTTGAAGTCCAGCTGTGAATCCAACTCCTATTGGAGCTCTGGTATTTTTAGAGCCTTATAAAGGCATAAGCCTTCCGAAGCTTAGTTCTTCAAGCAGGAGGTATAAGCAAGCACATTTATTCATCATGATAGTTCATTTGCACCAAGCTCTACAGAGTAAGCTCTTTCTACAGACCGTATAAACCATAGGAGAACACCAGTGCCCCTCTCTGGCTTACCTTGTGCAATGGTTCGGCTAAGGCAAAATTCACATCAACATCAGGATGCCCTAACTAACAAATACATTTGGTATCTGAATGCGAGCGAGATGTCCATGCTCCCATTCTAGTCTGAAGAGTGGAGAGCCTTAAATCAGCTCACCTAAAGCAGACACCTATATCTGGCCAGCTAAGTAGCTCTTCAGGCTATTAACTATAATAACTTAGACCTACCAGACACAAAGATGTTCACATTCCTCAAGCTGTTTTCTTCCACTGGGGATCAATTCAACTGCCAAAACATGGACACCTACCATCAATCAGGCTTTTAGATAAGAAAGAATCTACATGAGACCTGTGCTGTTCTGGACCAGCACCTGGAAGCCTGGCTACACACCTTAAATGGCACTGGACATCTGTGTAGACGAACTAAATCACACCCCGATTCCCTTGGGAGGAAAGGGCTTACCTTTGTCCAGTTGGATTCCTCCAACAGCTCCCTCCCTACCTCTAGGGAGCAGAGAGAGGCAGTAGTACATTACTAAGTTATGCACTGGGAGACATTCAAGACACGGTATTTTCCGTAGACACAGACTGTCTCACATTTCTGACATTTCAGAGTTCCTATATTGCTAGGTGGTTTTACCTATCACAACAATTAACTATCAAGGTTTGTCAGAATATCTGATTTGTGGGTTCAGCTGTCGGTGTAAATCTTGAACTGGTGCAGGTTGCTTATTGGCAACCACGGGCTATTCCAGCCAAAGGTAAACTGGTCTGCTAAATCAGTAACATATGTCTTGGCCAGTTCTCAGTACGACATGTCCTATCACCATCTGTAAATTTAGGTCCATGCTTCTATTTTTAACTGTATACATATCAATCAGTGAAAACACTGATCTCATTAGGCATTGCTTCTATTATAAGGAAAGCTGCATTCTGCTTCATTCAATGAGAAATAGGTGATTTCTCCTAATAAAATCTCTGTTTTCCATAAAAAAAAAAAATCTGCAATAAAACACATTGTGTTGGGACAGATCAAAGACAATACATTTATTAAACTTTGAGAAAAACAAACAAAACACTGACATAGGGAAAGTTAAATAGAAACTGAAAGACACATCTTCTGACCGGCGTAGAATGGCTTGTTGACCAGTAAAGTACCAAAATGACATTCTGAGTTTGATTGAGGTATTTAACTATTTTTTGGCAATAGAAACAGAGTAAGAAACTTCTTCCAAACACACACATAGGCATTACTTGCATTAGTGTCTATCATCTATGAAATTTTATATGAAACTAAATAATGTAGCTGTTAGAAAAATATAGCAGCAAATTAGCAGAATATCTAATGCACATTTACCATAAAGTACGTGCTAAACTTAAAAATCCCACCCAATAGCTGGGCACAGTCCTGTAGCCCTTGGTCACAAAGAGAGCATCAGTGATTTCAGTGGGAGACACCATAAGCAAGACCTGCGTTTGCTGCACTCCATACACTCCCGTCCAGGTCAGGTCAAAGAAATGAACGCCCATGTTGGCTTTCTAAGAAGAACCCTGCTATGATGAAACCACAGCCTAGGAGGGTAACTTCTGAAGCAGCAACCGTTCACTGCAAAGCTCCGTCAAGTTCTTCATATACATAAGAACAAAGAAAGCCTTCCCACTGAGTTTCAGTTTTCTCTCCTATCCTTCCAAAAGTCTGCCTAACGCGGTCAGAGGAGATGCTGTTAGGCTGCAAGACAGAAAAACACTTTTGAGCAATACTGTATTATATTCCCCTTGTTCCACTGAAGTCTTTTATTAATCCTGCCGTATCTTTAAAAATGAACTGCTGGCTAACTCCTGAAGTCCTTATTTTTTTTTTTTTTTTTTTTAATCAAGACTTTATGTGGCACAAACTAATAAATGTCGTGATACCTTTGGCTGTAGGAGGGCTTCAGAAGTTGGTCAAATGTGAAGAGATTATGCTGCTAAATCACCAGAGCTTATTCATGTGTTCTCAAAAATTTTAAGTGAAAGTAGAGTTGCACACTGTTTGTTACTGTAGTAAACAAAATTTTGCTTATAAAAAAGTATATTATTAGCATTAACCATAATCTGATGAAGAACAGAATAATTTTCCCAAATATTTTGTATATTTTAAAGTTTTCTACAAAACTTTAAATTGAATGTATATTTCTGTATTAGTTACCATAAGAAAGTAATAGAATCAGTTACTTTAAGTTTCTACAACATTTCAAAATTTCTCTACAGGTTTCTTTGGAAGTATAAAATGGCTCTGTAAAAACCTATTTTTTTCTTTTTGCTGTGAAGAAAACTCCTTTTTAAGATTGCAGCAATTACATTTCTTAGATGGGTCATCATAACTGAACTACAGTGTGTAGTGTAATAGAAAAAGTCTATGTTTTTATGACTAAAATATGAAAATATATTTTATTAATTTATATAAATCAAAATAGATGTGTTATTTATTTAAGCCACTTTTGTTTTTTTTCACTTATATGTTCAGTTCCCAATTACTGATATAAAGATCTCTGCCAACAGCACATTTTCTAAATTCTTAGACTTTAAACCACCTGATTTTTAGCTTTATCAAAATACATGATTTACTGTACATTAAACATAGTAATTTCAATGCTTAGTATCACAAAAATCAACACCCACAAGAACAAGACAGTCACTGCTAGTAAAACAGTCTCAAGACAAAGTCATAGATAATATTTACAGAACACAATAGGAATATTTTGGTGACTACTTTTATGTCGCAACATTTCAGATAAAATTGTAAGAACCACGAGAAACTTTCAGACTTCATTTTGGTTTCAGCATACAAGCCCAAGCTGACTGTCTGCTGTGAAATACTGCACACATCTGGTCAAAGAAGAGCTACGGCATGATTTTGTTCAGCTGGTCTGTGCTCACGTAGCCACAAGACACGTTGAATTCCTTGTCTGGTACAGGCAGTGCAGTTGCATTGAGCACAAGGCCTTGCGGAGAGTGAACAATATGAATAGACGTGTAGTCTGGGACAGGCATCTCTGAACTTGGGGTTTCTGCTGCTGAAGCTCCAAGATTGACACCGGTAGTGGTAAGGCTCTCTGTGGTGAAGTAAATGTCCTCGTTACAGCTTTGCTCCTGAACATGTGGCTCATCCTCTTCGTGGGAAGTCACAGCAATACATTTTTTCACATCTGCCTCACAGAAGTAGGCATTATCCACGGTGAAGTTTTGTTCTGTGCAGCCTTCGCACTGTGCTCTCCCCACCTTGGATTTCTGCCCTGGTGAAAGTACAACACTGCCTGCTGGCGTAATATCACTCACTTGCGCATAAAAGTCAGTATTTGTCAACGAATTCTGGTTACTTAGCTGGGTATGGGCCGATGGACGAGCTGAGTCAATGCTGGTTGCAAAAGGTGGCCACGGCTGGCTGCTCTCGGACTGAATGCTCATAGGTGGCTGTTGGGTGTCTGTGTTGGCAAGGCTTGGAAGTGACTCATCGTTATCTCTTCTATCAAGGCCCAAGAGATCCTCCTCTTTTTCAGTTCCCTTTTTGAACTGATCAATATCGGAGATGGCATCACAGGTATCACTTGCACTGAAGTCTGTCTCTGGAATATCTGGTTCGCAACAACTGGCCCGTCCAGAATCATCATCCTTTGCTCCCAGGCAACTGTGTGATTTCAGGTGATCTTCACTCAGGAGCCTGTCAGTATCTGAGACTCTGTTCTTTTCATCAGGGTCTTCTATGTCCAACTCAATAAACTCAACCCACAAATCGTCATTGTAGAGCTGTGTCTTATAGTTGTCATGGCTGGCTAAGATGGAGTTCACTTCATCTAGCTTTCCTTTCTATAACACAACAAAAAATGAATGTTATAAAGGAAACAATAAAAATGCTTGTGCTCCTTATGATGTTAACTTAAGGAAAAGTAACTGTAGCTGATGTAATAATTGTTCAGTTGTAATAATTATTGTATGAAAACTAATTCCGTGGCAACTCCCCCATGTCATAATTTTTTCCTACAAAATTTTTCTGCCCGGAACAATAATTGTCACCCGCTACGACTACAACGATTCCCACTGTAGGTTCTAGAGCACAGTAGTACCTTCAAGAGATCTGGGTCAATCCCTTTAATCTTGGGAACTGGCACAGGAGGAAAAATCAGCATTTTTAACCTAGAAAAAATAAATTATGGCTTTTAATTGACAGTGGTCCTTCTTGAGGAAGTTAGAAAGAAGAAAGCCTTACATTGTGTTTATACTTAATTACTTCAAAACTGATATGTTTGAAGATTCAATTTCAAGTAGTCCTAAGGAAAAGAAGGGTTGTTTTCTCTCACTGCAAAAAAACCCACAAGTTTTTATGCAGCCTTCCTTGTTGAAATCACATACATTTATATCGGAATCCATTTTGAAGTCTGGTCTTTGATAATTTAATGCTCTATAGAAAGAGAGTAAATTCCTAAAGCCCTGTCAATAGTTTTCCTTTTTACATAATTTTCAAGGGAACCTGATACAAGCCTCAGTGCAGAGTGACTCTCCACAATTTTTTTTTTTCAGGGACACAGTAGTCTAGCAGAAGCCCAATACATTTAAATAGGGGAATAGAAAAAGGGAGTTGGTGAAAAGAGTGAATTACTTTAGAACTAAAAAATAAAACAGAAACACAACTGTAAAAATTTAAGCTACTATTTTCCCATCTCTATGACACTTCTGTTTTCTGAATTATTAATGTAACAAGTGATATAAAATAACAATAGGGTTTAACCCTTGTAGAGAAAGGACTAGTAACTTGCTTATGCATGTACACACTATGAAAATACATATTATTCTAATCCTTCATAAAGTGAATTTCTAATCCTTTGAGGAGACAAAAAAAAAAGAAAAAAAAACAGACGGATTATTTCTGTTAATAATAATCTTAACAATAGCAGGTCATCCCTGTCTCCTCCATTTTACCTTCCTGCTTCTTTTGCAAATAGAGAAACTGTAGCTCCCAAAAGGCAAATCCAACATTCACTTTATACTGGATTACTTGCCTAGTTTGCAAAGTAAGATGTGGGAATGGTAAATCCAAATCAAAATATTAGTTTTGCTGCATTGTTAGTGACCTTGGCGAGGTCCAGAGAAGATCAGAGAAGTCTTAGGGAGTCCTAGAGAGAAATTTAGCCACCTTCTGCTTAACTATGGAAGGCCCAAATTCCCCAGCTGTTTCCGTTTTTGGCAGACCCTCAAAGTTCTGCTCAGCAAGCCTCAATGACAGCCAGAAATCCCATAATTTTTCACCTAATCTCTGGAGGGACTGTGTTAGCTGTGCACTGGCTGGGGTCTCAGGGTGCCAGTTTAAGACCTGGACTTACAGTTAAATCCACAGATCATCTACTCTGACAGGAATGGGCACTGCTTCTAACGAAACAGACAAAGGATTTTACCACTCACTGCCTGGAGAAATCATTCAGGAGGGAGAACTATGCTCTGCTCCTTTCTTAGCCTTGCATGATTCAAGTCTGCATCTTAACTCTTAAAGGGTATGGCCTAACCCTATGGCGTCTGTCCTAGGGAGCCTCGTTCAGATCTTGTAAGGTCAGAATTGAGGACAACATGAACTGGCATCTTTTCAGATACAGGAGGAAACCGAGCCTGGGTATTTTGCATTACAGGGTATCTATGCAGCCTGATCTTCTGCAGAATACATTGCCGCTCCCACCACCATGTGCATCGGTTTGAAAGAAAGAGTGCAGGCCCATAGGTCTAGAAAAACTTTCCAGATGAAGGGTCCTCAGTGGAGAAAGTCTCCACCCGCAGTCTTTGACTAGCATGGAAGGTATTAATGAGCTCTAATCAGAGAAATGCTTCAACCCTCAGGATCTCAGAATCATAGAATCATAAAATGGTTAGAGTTGGAAGGGACCTCAAAGATCATTTAGTTCCACCCCCCCTGCCAGGGGCAGGGAAACCCTCCACTACACCAGGTTGCTCAAAGCCTCATCCAACCTGGCCTTGAACACTTCCACGGATGGGGCATCCACAACTTCTCTAGGCAACCTGTTCCAGTGCCTCACCACCCTCTGAGTGAAAAATTTCTTCCTTGTATCTAATCTAAATCTGCCTCTTTCAGATTAAAGCCATTGCCCCTTGT